AAATGCATAGGTCGTGATATCTTTAGTGTGTTTAGAGATCACTTTGGATGGTGTCTTGTGGGTGGTGTCACTATTATGGTATGGATTAGACTAATGCAAGTTCTTGTGGTGGTAGAGTTATATGTTTATATTTTTGTATTTTTTGAATTTTCTGGTAAGTTGACAACTGTTTTGTGCTTGAGGGGTGTGGCAGTATGGGAAGGACTATGATTATGATGCTCCTGTGAAACTGCTGGACAAGCTGCTTCATTCAATGTCTCAGTGCGATGACGAGCAACTCGTTGTCGTATCTCAGGTGATTTTAACTATATCCCCTTGCAGAATTCTTCAAATTTTTGTATGCTCTCTCGGTTGGTTATTCGGAGAGGGACCTCGGATGACTATTTATAGTGTTTGTTATGTTTTGTTCTTTGGATTGGGGTTTTCCATTAATGGTGGAGCTTCATAATAGTCTGGAAAGAGACATATTTCTGAGGTAATTCGGAAATAAAAGATGGTTGGCTTAATAGATAGGAAAATGTTTCCGTTTTTAGAAGTTTTACTGAGAAGATCGGTAGTGCCATGAGCTGATGAACTTTACGCTGGTGGTGCCAAAACCAGGTTCTGGTGGCGGATATCAACATTGGTTATGAAGACATTGTGAATACCCAGGTAGGTGCCCATTCCTTGTACATCTGTGATGGATTCTTGTACTGGCGTGGGGGCGGCAAGAGTGGCGATTTAAGCTGGAGCACTTATCCTGGGTGGATGCATCAGAATTTACGCCATTGTAAGGATGGAGACTGGTGTTCTGATGTTTTGTGGTGATCTTGTCTAATGTTCGTTGGCAGGTCATAGCTTTTAATGGAACACCTGTTAGGAATCTTAAGCATCTGGCAATCATGGTCGAGAAGTGTACGGATCCCTTTTTGCGGTTTGACCTTGAATATCAGCAGGTTAGTTTTCTGTATGCCAGACTATGCGTGTTGTCGTGGACAGATGCACTGTTGCTTTGGTAAGTGAGTTCGTTGCAAGGGTCATACACCTAAAGCTAAGGGAATAAGAATTCAGGGATTGTTTTTCTTCTGATATATCAACTCTTGTGACGTCGACATGCTGCTCAGATTTGAATTGATTTGAAAGGAGGTTACTAGCGTAAAGGATGGTGATGGATAAGCAGTGCCCATGTGGGTTTGTGCAGATCGTGGTTCTGGAAACCAATGCAGCCAAGGCTGCCACTCCAGAGATCCTTGCCACTCATTGTATACCATCAGCAATGTCTGATGACTTGAAAACGTAATGATCAGGAGTCAGGTTTGGTTGTCTGGTTCTCAACAACAAATATCTTCTGCATCGGGGAGGCGAAAGGCGCGTGTAGTTTATGTTTGGTGTTCATTATTTTGTAGCTCTGTTTTGAAGTTGCAGAGGATGTATCGACGCCTCACAATAGATCAGTATATGAAACTTAGAAGCGCCTGGGTCTGTATTGTTGTTGAATGCGCCAATGCTGTTACAGGTCGTGATTCTTCGAGAGGGAGCGATTCAACTTTTTTGCAGATAGAGGAGGAAAACAGAGAAGGATGTGATGTCTGTTCGCTGGGGTGGCCTCGGTGTTACTGGCCGATCGGAATACAGCAATGCAGAACATCTTTGACGTGTGGTTTCATGCTGGGAGTAGCTCCGAATAGTTAACGTTAGTCTTAGCGAAGCAGTTTAGGACGGTGACGTCTTGCCACAAATCTTTAACCTAGACATAAAACTCATTTGTGTGTCTTCGGTTATTTTTCTAGTTGATGACAAAATTGAGTTACGGTAAGCTTGGGAGGGGAAGTCTGATCCCTCGCTTGCGGTCATTTTGTCCCACATCAAGTTAAAAACAATAACTGATGAGGTGGAGTCGAAACAAACGCGCATGAGTAGTTTCTTTTAAGTTGAGATGGTTTAAAGTTGCACTTGGGTGACAACTTCCTAACTTTGCAATCCAATATACAATTTACTATGCGTTTTTTTTCTTAAATTTGAAGTCTAAATTGTCCGGAATGCATGAACTGAGTTCAAAGTGAGATCAAAGGTATCAGAGTCACATGTTCTGCTGCAGCTAGAATTATGCATGATTATGTTTGCAGATTTATTTGATACGATCTTCTACCTAGCACACATTTTTGGGTTGTAACTGGCTTGACCTGAAATTCCTGTTGCAGCAGTCGTATAATCAGTTGTTCATTACACCATTCTGTTCATCAATGGAGGTGTATCGGTGACCCGCAAGTTTCTAACATTTACAACCCAGTGGGATTTTACTCTTAAAACGAACTTTCTGATGTAAAGTAATTTAGACCTTATTTATGTAAAGATGCATCAAGCTTGAATGTCTGAGTGTCCGCAATGAATACATAACCATTTATTCATTCACTTGCACAAACCAGATGCATCTCCTTGAATAAAAATGCTTCAAAACAAAAACTTTGTAATTATTTATGCATTTTTAGTACAATCATCTACATTCACATCCATAATTAGTGCATATCAGACTGTTTGCAAGGTGCTTTTGGGACATGAGTGCTTGGTTAATAGTGCATTCTATGCTAATTGAGAATACACACTAATAATAAGCTATTTTGAATAGTGTGATACACACTATTCAAATTCACACTCAAATAGTATGTAGACCTTGCAGTGAGAGTGGGAATTGCAAGAAAGTGGTATCATACCTTTGATCAAAATTCATGACAAGTCTCCTTAATGTGGTTTTGGATTAGGAGGGGTTGTGGTAAACTAGATGTTTGTTTGATAGCAAACACACTAGCACTTGTAGATAATTGGGCACTAAAAATATGAAAGAGAGAAAACAAAAAAGAAAAATGGAAACAAAGAAAGAAAGGGAGTATAGTGCAGTCAAACACATCAAATTAGAGTAGAAATATAGCGAATGTAGTTGAGGAGAACAAAGTAAGATAGAGTGAGTGACTTGAGAGAGGATGCTATTGCAAATAGGATGAAACATAATAGAGTTGGATTCGGTGGAATAGTGGTGGTGGGGATGGCTAGATGGCCTGGTCCCTTTACTAATGCCTCCTCTTCTTCTTCCCATTTCCTCTAGTTCATGAATGTCCAAATTTCTCCTTTCAAAGAGTTGAAACCAAATAAATCTAAACAATAAAAGTAGCAGAAGTAAATAGTATGTATCACAGCCATAGATCCTATATCCTATGAATATTGTGTATCACACTAATTAAGAATACAAATTGTTCAAGTTTACACACTAATTACCAATATTGGTGTAGTTGTTGTGGATCAAACTCTACATTTGTATAATTGTGCATCATTTGAAGACACAAGATTTGTATTCAACTTCAACTGTTGAAAAATCTCTTTATAGTTTGATAAGCATGGTTGGTTTTTTTACAATTGTATTAAAGCACTTAGCTTTGTTGAGTATATGCCTTATATATCAAGTACTTATATATTTTAAATAATTAAAATTAATATATGAAAGCATTTCTTGAATAGAATAAGAAGAAAATTTTAAGAAATGATATTATTCATACCATGTAGGGAAAAAATGTATTCCATATAATGTTTTCCTCTTTTGATTTGCTTATTGATTTTTCGAACTTTAAAAGCAACCAAGTGGTTCATTTTAACCAATCTCAAGCTTTCAAAATTACGTTTTCTGCTAAGCTTGTACACCCCCTAATTCTCGATGTAGATTTCTTTTATTTACACAATAGTAAAAAGATGGCAGTAATTCATGGATTCTTCTTCGGGGTTTTGCTGAAGGCATGATACTTATTCATCCGAAAGTGTCCTTCCCACCGTTGAACATGCAAGGTCTGCACAAGTTGCTTGACATGCAGTGTCGAGAATCATCCCAGCCTGCTTTTTCTGCTCATATCCAGATGTGTTATTCACGAAATTGCAGCGTTTCACAGCCTGCAGCCATCTGCAAATACTGTAAGTTTTTACTTACAACTGGGGATGCTTCATGTGCAGCTCTTACGTAAACAATGATGTCCCCAGCGTCGCCTATTTCCAAGTCCTTCAAGGCTCAATGTTCTCTCACAGCTGTGCTCCTCTTGCTTGACAGGCTTGTCGACCGCTCCGGGACAAGACACTACGCTGCAGTGCGGTGCATGCATGATCACCCAGCGCACCCACCGTTGTGTCAGTTCCTGCTCCTTCATTCTCCGCAACTTTTGGCTCTGTTCACAGCCCTACCACACCCATCGGCACTTGTCAGGCTTGCAAAATGACGAATGGCGTATAACGCTCACGCCATAGGCGATGGCGCTGGCGCATATGCTCCTGGAAGCTGGATGGGTATCATGGCAATGTCCACATTGAGTAGTTTTAGGACCTTGACTACAGAATCCCATGGCCTTCAACGGATCAGAATCTTCAGAGCGCCACTCACAATCTCAAAGACCAGGTCCGCAGCTCGCACATTCACCGAGACCTTGTCCACCAGACCCAACACAATCATCTCAAGCAACACTATGCCGGGTTGGATCAGCTGTATACGGAGATCATCCACCTGCTCTCACAGCGCAGAGCAGATTGACGTCCCAATCGGCTTGATTGCGCTGAGGAGGGCATCTATCAATGTCATGACTACCCCCGAATGGCCACTACGACGTTGGTAACGACCAGCCAGACCAAGCCCTCCGACGTGGAGATAATAATGACAAAAGTTCACCGAACCAGTGCAGTATTGCTGCCCAGTGTGCCTCGGACCACTATTTCAACAGCTGTAACTGCGACCTTGCCCGCTTCCACCGAAAATGAGCTTGCGACCCAGTTCTGCTAAAACACCGTCCTGCAGTGGCTATGTAAAATGACGCTCCTGGAAGACCTAAGAGAGAACTTGCTACTATGCTTACTCGTGATCAATGCAAGCAAACCCAACCCCGGATGCAGTGCATACACAAGTTGAGGCGATCAGTAAAGGCCTGGTACCTTACAACTCTCCAAGGAACTCTGGTTGTAAAGTATTCGACCGATCCAGCACCTGAACGCTGGGTTTTAATCAATCCTTTTCTGGTCATTTTTCAGTAAGTTCATCACTTCAGTCTCATTCCACGGGCTATTGCATCAGCTGACTGAGATGGACGTTGTTAGACGATCACAACTCGACTTGCATAAGTTTGTTCGAGGGGTTCTCCAGGCACCCTCAAAGGGCACAACCGATGATCCAGGGGAGCCAAGCTGGCCCTCAGGTGATATATATATTTATGTGTGAAATGAACTTTTTTTTATTAAAAAAATATTTTGAAGTCTCCGTTTTTTAAAAGGTGTGGCTTGTTTATTTAAAATAGATGATGTTAAAATTTATAATTTTTTAAAGGTTTAGGGTTTGTAGAGATTGTGGGGAGTTTGTAGAGATTGTAAAAGAAAAATAAATAAATTTTGAAAGAAATGAAATTATCAAAGCTTTCCAATTCTGTTTACGAAGAACTTTGGAGTTGAAATTACAAACTTATATAGAAAAACAAATTGCACAGGGCGGTAGCATTGTAGAGGCCCATAACCTATTGAAGTTAATGAGGCTTACGCATCAATTAATCAACGAAAATACAAAACGTGTTTACAATTAGCTCTGCAATAGCACTGATCCACTGTAAAGCATCGTCTTCGAGACATGGCTAGCACAATGAAGGTGATCTCTACGCAAACAACAAGCAAACTTCTCTGTAAAAAAATGGCTTATCTTCTTTGTACACTAATATATATACATATACAGAGAGTTATGATTTACATTTTGATGTAGAAAGTTGAATGAACTTATTCATCCAATAAGTCATATACTCGAACAATACCAAGTGACCGACTGCCGGTGCACTGGTCAGCTGGGGCTAACCCCACGCTCAACCCTTTGTGCACCCCCCACAACAAACACACAGGATGACCACAGTAGATAAATTAAGACATGCCAAAGAAATATTAGCAACTTAAACAGATGACAATTTTTTGGATTTATGTTTATTTAGTTTCAACAATGGTGTTCGAAAAGCCAACCTTCAGCCTTTGCTCACAGCTAACGTTGCCCCTGAGAAGAGTAGGATGTGTGCCTGGCCACGATGAAGTATTTATGAGCTGTCAGGTTACCTGTTCTCAGAGTCCTTCTGACTTCGCCTTTGTTGCTGTCTTTGCTTCCATTTGGTCCAGTTTCTGCACACGTCCAGAAACCAGATTTTGAGTTCGGAAGTCTAACCCTGCAAGCATACAAACATACAGGACATCTGACAAGTGCATGCTGTAAAGTCGGGATATGGACCTAGGTTAAGGATTCATAGAATTTGAGGCACTCGTTATTTTGATGTGCCCACAAATTAGAGAAATTTAGAAAACATGAACCAGATGGGGATAGTTACATACTTCGCTACAGAAAACCCAAGAATACCAGCTGCGACGGTGCTGACCACCACGCAGATCCAGAACAAAACAAAGTACTATCTGCTAACTCCAAAAGTAGTTGCGCTTTTGTGAGTTGGGTTCTGCATCACAACAATTCATTCGTCAAAGCATGAAGACAAAATGGCAGCTTCACTAGAACCAAGCACCTGACATTTGACTAGTCAAGGAAATATCTATTACACAACAAGCAAAACGAAAATCGAGAAAGAGAATAGCCATTCAAAAGATCAATGTTGGGAGCCCAGAAATTTTTAGGAAACAACCAGTAAAAGGAGGAGCCTTCAATTTCCGATGAGCATACATAAAAATAGGTACTCGCTCAGAAGTCCTGACAACTGGATTTCCGGCAGAACTAGTCTGCAATACGCTCAAGGCTGTAATTTCTGCATTGAGTGGCAAAATGTTCTCTTTTTCGATCTGTATTAATGCAACACAGTGTCTAATTTCACCGATCGTGGAAATCTAAAGCAGACTACAATGCAAAGATGAATCTTTGGATATAAACTCACAAGTCTGCCTGGCGTATGCAAAGGAGTAGTACCAAGCAACCGACGTTTCTAAAATTCAAACCGTTGATTATTCCCGGAGACTGACCGGGTAACG